GGGTCAGAGCCCCCAAATGCTAAATCACGTCCTACTCTAACAGTGCAATTACAACCCATCGTGTGTCCCATAAAAATAATTCCCCACTGCCATTCAAGTGATACATGGGACGACATGATATGTCCCTCCAGACCCCATGTATTAGCACTGCCGGTTCCCTCTGCCTCTGATATCAGATCAGCTCTTACGCCTTCCAGCCTGAGTTACTGCAGTAACAGGAAACACAGACATAACTGATACCAGAACAGCAACTAAAAGTACATATATCGTGGCGACCTGTGATTTAAAGAGTGCCGGTTGGCTGAAGATAAGGTATCGGCGTTTAAGGGTCAAGGACGACTGGCTGGGAGCTCTAAGGATTATGGAGCTCTCCTCTTTGCTTCCTGTTTTACTTTTATTTCCATATTTTCCAGAGTTGAAACGAGAGACCCAAGAGGTTGCAAGGCATCTTGTGTTTACAGCTTTCCTCTCGCTTCTTCTTAGACAAAGCCCAGTGGAGGAACATTTGCATGCTATTACATGTATTCTGCTTCCAAGTTTAGGCTTCATATATTTTATCCATTTGTCACACGGGCTCAGTATGACTGGGGTTAACTGCCTCACATGTTCCATGTCCATGTCATGGATACATTAGGCTCCATTATGGCTCTTGGTGCCCTGCCTGAGCTACAGTGAGGGCAGCAACTGTTCTCCCATTACGCCTCATTATGGCTCCCATGGCTGCCGTCACTGAGCCGTTGTGGACCTGTGTGGGTTATGATGTATGTGCGACATATGCTCTCACAGCTAAAAGGATGTAGATGTACTACAGGTTGTTTGCCACTTTGGTCTTCTCTGTGAAGTTGTTATAGTCGCAATAAAACTGAAGAATCTACAGATAGTTTCTTTCATTTTGTGACATATATCTGAGTGTAATGGATTATTAGTTCACCCAAAAAGTGAAAATTCTGTTATCCAATATGATAAAAACCGGAAGATTAGCTGTATTACTGTACAAAGTTTTGGTGGAATGGGTTAAATGATAGAAATAACAGGATTCTTTAAAAATGTCTTCATCTGTGTTTCAAAGATGAATGAAAGTCTTATGGGTTTTAGAGAAACACAAGGGTGAATAATTGATGACAGAATTTTTATATTTGGGTGAACTATCCCTTTAAAATATGAAACTTTGGCTTCTCGTCTCACTACATTGAATGATTCGTCAGTTACACTTTATTTTAAGGTCCAGTTCTTACTATTAACTGCATCTTTTCCCTCAATAAACTTCTAATTACTGCTTATTAATAGTTAGTAAAGTAGTTGTCACGTTTGGGTATTGAGGATTAAGGATGTAGAATATGGTCATACAGAATATGTGCTTTATAAGTACTAATAAACAACCAATATGCTAGTAATATGCATGCTAATAAGCAAATAGTTTATAGTGAGAATTGGTCCCTATACTAAAGTGTTATCGATACGTCAAATCATGTGGCTTGTTGAGAAGAGGTTTGCTATTATTATTCTAATTTCTAAACTATAAGACTTATTGCCTGATGAACATCCCATAGGCTTACATACATTGAAGGAGGTTCCTAAGCCATCTTGCTGCATTACACAATAACAAAACCCTCACTTCTGTGGAAGTTTGTGCAAAACAGAAGTGAAAGTAGTGGTTGTAACTAGAAATAAAAGATTTTTTTGTAGTTATTTATTTACTGATTGATTGAAATTTTTATCTAAAAAAATCTAATTAGCAGTATAATGAGGTTATTTTTGTTTTATTTCTATTAAGAGTACCATTTCATGGCAGTTCATGGGGCCTTTTGGTTATCAATGTGTGTTTGTATAAAAGCCAGTGATACTTTCTGTGTGTGTAGGAGTGCTCAGGCTCAATGTTGATGCTGTGCTGTATGTGTGGGCTGGGGTTGGACATATTGGCCGAGGCAATAGATTGTGTAGTTGAAGCTCTTGTATTGGGTGTAGATTGATGTTGGAGGGGATTTGCTGTTGGGCTCTTGAAACGTTTTTTTTGTACTAAAGTTCATGTCTCCTAATACAGAGCAGCTACTCTTACACTCTCAAACACTCCTTCACACACAATTTCCCCCACAATCAGTCTTAAATATATACTTTGAAAGGTGGGATATGCTGTATGGCATTGGGTCTATAATACGGAGTATGATAATAAGCATGTAGCATTGATGGAATTCTTGTTCTCCATGTGTAGCACTGCAGTGAATATGTCTTATTGAATTTTTATTGTGCAAGAAAACACACTTTCAGTTATTTTTAGAAGCAATTAACATTTATCGGGTTTTAAGTATTTAAATGTATTTCTGTCCATTTTGCACATACATTTCCTAATAAATGACAATGTGAGAGATGTGTCCCTTCTCTGTGTGTGTGTGTGTGTGTGTGTGTGTGTGTGTGTGTGTGTGTGTGTGTGTGTGTGTGCGCGTGTGTGTGCTTAAGAGGGAGAGGAAGCATCAAAGAGTATGTTTGGGGGGCAGTCTCTCTGCTCTGGCCTCATGCCCTGGCAATTATCTCAATGATTTCCTCCTCTTTTCAATTCTCTCCATTTCCACACGGCCGTCCCCTCCATTAAAGGAGCAATTTACCAGAGTGCTGTGACACAGGAGCCAGATAGAGAGAGCGTGAGAGTGTGGGTATGTTTGGGAAGGTGAGGATGAGATTGGAAAGGTGTGTTGAAGAAGGGACAGTAAGAGGAAAAAAAAGAATAGCTGCCTTGCTGCCCTCATTCAGAAATGTGATGGGGCATGATGCGCACCAAATAGATTTAAACAAAGTTTCTTAAAGAAGGCAGATCTTAAAAAGTCCCATTTTTCTTGATGTTTTGGAATCAAATTAATCTGAAAAGTTATAGTTATTTTATACACTACCTTTCAAAAGGTATTTATTTGTCCAGCAAGTATGTATTAAATTGATCAAAAGTGACAGTAGAGAAATTCATATTTTGTATTTTGTGCCATTTATATTAAATATTTTTTATATTTTATATTGAGAATTCATAGGGGGGGGGGAATCATAGTTTCCAAAAACATATAAAGCAGCACAAGTGTTTTCGACACTGATAATAATAAGAAATGTTTCTTGAGCATTAAATCAGCATATTTGAATCATTTCTGAAGAATCATGTGACTGACTGAAGGCTGGAGTAAATGGCTGCTGAAAATTCAGCTTTACTATTACAGGAATAAATTACATTGTATATTATATTTAAGCAGAGTACAGATATTTAAAATTGTAATAACATTTCAGACAATACACTTTTAAACTGTAGTGTATGTAATAAGTGTACCAGGGAAAATATCTATCTGTCTATATATATATATATATATATAGTAGGCTATATTACATAACTATATTGTAAT